CAACGATACGAACCGCGCGTATTCGTACAACCTTGCGAGCACAGACCATAAATCTCCAAACACTCGTCGATATCTCTACAAACATTCTCTACCGCTGACATACGATAACCTTTGGGACAAATACACTGCGCGCCCGACTCGGGTAACATTCTGCATATCGACGCCGGCGGACATGCTTTTGTGCTGCAATTGTTGGTTGTTGTAGTGCATAGGTGTGACTCATCACTACCATCCGCACACTCCGCCTTACCATTGCAAGCTGCATCGATTGATAAGCAGCTGGAGTTGTCGTGACACAAGAACTGGCCCGCTTCCAGTGTGCAATTGAAACCTACAATCCGCCATAGCGATTAAATGGACTTCTGGATATTTATAACGAAACCCTTACCACATTTCCGTTCATCACTGCCATCACCGCAATCATCAACACCATCGCAAATCCATTTTTTACTCTCCAGACATTTTTTATTGTCGCAAAAGAAACCAATGCAATTAGTTCTGGCGCGCTCGCAACCATCCACCTCATCGGAACGATCATGGCAATCGCTCTTGCCATCGCACATAAAATCCAAAGGTATGCAAGTCTTATCCGTACGGCAGGTGTACTCGAAAGTGCTGCAATTCCGTTTTGACGAATGCCAGCCGCCCGTGCCGACATCAGCGCTCGCTGAACTTGCCCTGCCAGCGCCACCGCTGATCCACAGCGAGGACGACGACGACCTTGAAGACGAGCTGACGCAGTCCAATTCATCTTCGCCGCCAGGGCAGTTCTCGACACCATTGCAAATCAGTTCCGATGACAAGCAGGGGCCATTGGGTTTGGCGCATTGGAACCAATTAGGTTTGCGGCACATTTTCTTCTCTGCAATGATTTGTTTATGAGGAAATGGGTTTTTGGCCGAATGCCATTTGAAGAGTTAAACACAACTTACCACAGTCGAGCTCGTCCGAGCTATCTAGACAGTCATGACGTCCATCACACATCTTCTCCTGTAAGATGCAGCTTCCGTCTCGGCACTCGAAGTGATCGGCACCGCAATGGTGGATCTCTGAAGCGCGTGCGAAAAATGGCGGCAACAGAATGAGCACAACGACAACAAAATTAACAATGCAGTTGGGTGCAGCAACGGCTGGCTGTAATTTCTTTCGCACATTTTGTAACGGTAAGCGGAAGGCTTTTGCCCTGCAGCGTAGGAATGGAGAGAAACAATTAATAAAATGCAGCTGACGATTAAGAGAACAATGGAAGGTTGAAAGAGGAAAAGCAATTGAAGTACATAAAGTGAAAGATAAAAAGATGAAAGCAGAGCGGCCGCAATCACATGGCTGAGATATCGGACGAATTAAGAATTTTAGGTTAGCTAACAAATTTTTTATTTCCTTTTTTATTTTTTTAATATTTGCTTTTTTATCACTTCATAAAACTTTCTATTTATAATGGAAAATATGCTTGTTGTCGCACATATATAACTAATATACCTAACTGTGACATTTTTTTAAAACCACTTAAGTGACTTTAGAAGATTTGACTTTGGATTAAAAACAGTCACTTTTCTTTAAAAAATTTAAATTTTTATTAAGCTTGTAAAAAAGGGGCATCATAAAAAACACATATAGCTAGTTAATGGTTGAAATATTGTTCGGGCACCCAATTTAATATTGCTTCAAAGCGAAACTGACCTAACTCGAGATAAGCTGTTTTATCAAAATGCCACAAATATGTAGATTTTCCAGTGCATAATTCTCTATACATAAATTTTAAATTTCCGGTTCGGACGAAATCGGAACCAATTTATCCGAAAATCGATATTGAAGAATTTTTTGTATAAAACTTTATTTGATTTTTTTCCATAAAATTTACGTTAAAAAGAATTGTTAAAAATATTTTTCATGTATACTCACATTGAACGCCCTTTTAAAATACTATTAATGCCAGCGAGCGGTCTAAATACGCTTTATAGTTAAATATTTTTCTGTTTTTATTTTCTCACTTAATAATATTACTTCTATTACACAATATTTTACACAAATTATTTAAATTTTTTTATAGACTGAGTTACTTTTACACATAAAACCACATAAAAATATTTAAATTTGCTTTTCCTGATCGACACAATTATTTGCCGCGCTTTAGCGCGTTTTAGCCGAAATTGACTGATGTTCCGCACACAATGCAAAAGTGCCGGTGGCCTGCACAGCAAATGCATTGGAAAGAAAGTCTACATAAGAACAGTTAGCAGTTGCATTGGATATAAAAACAGGGTGCCGGTAAAGAAATAACTCCCATAATTTGTATAATAAATATCAACTCCAATTTTTAAAAAGTATGTATATATGTATGTATGTTAGAGTGGTCCAATTTTTAAAAAGTATGTAAATATGTATGAATGTTAGAGTGGTCCAATTTTTAATATATGTACACAATAATTCTAGAGTAAAATATGAGCATCATAAGCATCATCTAAATATATACATATATATAAACGTAAGGTGTGGTACCAGCACCTCTTTCGGCAAGAGAAAACATTTTGGAAGGTACCCCACCCTATCTTTGAAATTTCTTTGGACCACTCTAATGTATGTTCAATAGACTCAAGAATGCACCGTGCAATAGACTGCATCAGTCCCCATACAAAAAAAAAGTCGGTACTGTTTTTCCATTAGAATTATAAAATCTATTATATTCCAACACGTGCACCAAAATATTTCGGAAAAATATTAAGATTTAAGCGAGCTGGACCGAATGGAGTTTTTTAAGAATAAAAATAGTTTCTTAAAGATGTTTTTTGAAAAAATACCCTCAAACGACAAAACGGTTTAAGCTTAAAAAAATTAACATAAAAATATTTAAAAAAAATTAAAAAAAGTTTTAACGGAATCGTAATAATGTGATTTTTATGCTGTTTTCTTTTAAATTTTTTCAAACATTGGTATAAGAAAAACTTAAATAACTGACCCTAAACTCTTCCGATTTAGACTTGTAAGGTATCATTGGAAAGGATGAAAGATAAAGGTAGGATGAACGAACATCATTCAAAGTTGAATTAAGATGTGTTGGTATTTGAAAAAAAAAAGTGGGAGACGAATGACTTTTGTGCACCGAAATCGCATAAGTTTAAATCAGGATATTTTTGGCCAAGTTATTTAAGTTTTTCGTAAATCAATCTTTGAAAAAAGCAAAAAAAAAAAAAAAGCATCAAAACTCTTTTTATTACGAGTCCGTAGAAAAGACTTTTATGCAGATGTTTTAAGCCTAATCTGTTTTGTCATCTGAGGGGACTTTTTCAAAAAGTTCTTTAAGAAACAATTTTTATTCATAAAAAACTCCATTTTTGGAGGCATCTTCAAATCGGCCCAGTTCGCTTAAGTCCTAATACTTTTTCCGAAATATTTTGGTGGACGTTTTGAAATATAATAAATTTTGTAATCCCGCCGGAAAAAACGCAATTTTTTTTGCTGATGCAGTCTAATGTACATATATTAATAATAATAATAACTTGGCGCTTACACATACATATGTAAGTGTTTGGTCGAGTTTCTCCCCCGATTGGTGGCGTGCGCCTTGATGTTGTCACACAAAGCGTAGGGATCTACAGTTTTACACCGACTCCGAACGGCGATCGTATTTTTATGAGAAGCTGTTTTTCATGGCAGAAAAACGCTCGGAGGTTTGCCATTGCCTGCCGAGGGACGACCTCCTGTTAAGAAAAAACCTTTTTTCTATATTTTTTCGGTGTTGTTTTGACCAGGGCTTGAACCCAGGCGCAGCGGAGTGGAAGCACGCACCGATTACCACTACCCCACAGCGGACGACATTCATATATTCGGGTGGTAAAAAAAAAGTAAAGTCGGAATTTCAATACACCACCCCCTAGGATTGTTCTATACCGAAAAATATACCCCTATTGTTTTATTTTGAATTAAAAAAATATATTTACAAAGTGCGCAAAGAGCTCAAAGTTTTCCATGCACATATTTTATATGGGACTGTCTCTAAATTTTACTGCAAGATTTTTAAGAGTTATTAAGTAGTATAAAGTAGTATAAGTAGTTTTGTTAAGTTATTAAGTAGTATAGTATTGGAAAAGTTTGAAATTTATGCCGGAAACATACAACGACCTCTACTAAGCAGTGGATGCAGCAGCAACTAAACAATGCGCTGCACGCGTCATCTGGCGGTCACTAGATGCCGTTATTCCTTATTAAAGATGGAGTACATACTAATATACATACATACTTACATATCATGATTCAATAATAGAAAGGTTTTGTAATAAAAAAGTCTTCACGCTCCCACACATAAAATCGGCTTCTTTACTTGTGCAGAATGTAGCTCATTCTAGAGTTTCAAGTTATATTTTTAGTAAAACCCAAAATTCTTCATACTAAATACCTATTCGTTGGCATCACCTTCGTTCGCGTAATTTTCTGGAACAAGTGTAGAATAGCGACCGTTTAGCTATAAAATATCCAAAAATGCCGATTGATAGAAATTTTTACGCTGATTTCAACGATACCAAATTTATTTGGCGCAGGTAAAAAATAGAGAAGGTATAATAGTTTTATTTGCTTTGTTTATTTATATTTTTTAACTCTAAATTGTTGAAGCCCAAAAGTAGATCATGATAATATATGTATGTCGAATTAAAGATAATAACTTGTAGCGTTGCCAAATGTTCCGTATTTGCCGGGATGATGTTTGCACTAAATTTAAAATATTCCGTCGGGACAAGATTTTCCCGTATTTTCGGCAATTTAATTATTCTTTTCAACCTGTAAACTTCTACTCAAAATGGTCATGGTTTAACGCGGTGTGATGAAAATCGAACTATTTTGCACATCGTCCGGCTTCCCGCATCATTTAATGCTTCATTGTTGCAATAGTTTGTCGCTCACGTCTAACATCAATAAAGCTAACAAGTAAAGAAGTATAAGTTCGGGCGAAACAGACCTTTATATACCCGTCGCAGGTATCGTGATTTCAACTTCCTATAAACTACATTTGCATGATAAGCAGGGGTGGGCGTGGTTATTGCCCGGTTTCAAAGATTTTCAACAGGTTTGGTAACGATTGGTGATTGGCTAATGAGATACAGCATTTCATCATAAGTGGGCTGGGTCACGCCCATTTTCCAAAAATTTCATAATAATATTATTTTTTATCAAAATCCTACTGAAATATCGCAGTTTTTTCATTTTTCTAAAGTACCGTTATATAGGAAGTACGCGTGGTTACAGTCCAATTCCGCCAATTTTCAATACCAACCTACCTTGGATAAAGGGCAACCTACATACCAAATTTCGTTGAGATATCTCAATTTTTGATCGATATATCGTGTAGACGGACGGCCAGGCAGACGTGGCTTAATCGACTTCTCTATTAATTCTGAGCATCTATGTATACATTTGTCTATATCTATCTCGATTCGTTTTGGCTGTTACAAACAACCGTTATGTGAACAAAGATAATATACCCTTTTGCACAAGTGCGCTCGGGTATAAAAACGGGGTTGATGAATTAATTCGAAAATATATTTAGATCAGTTGGCATGGAGAAACCAATTGAATCGTATGAAAAAGGCCGAACTCTAGTGAAAGCTTCTATTGAAGAGCGAGCCCACCAGGATATTTGCCAATGCTTTGAGGAAATCGCCAACGGCTCTGATATTGATTCCAGATTGGTAGACAAGGCAGCGACCGTACAAGAAAAAAGGCAACGATTTAGAAATGGAGAAATATTTACAGGTACCCCTTATACCCAGACAAGAAGACCCTTTAATTTGGTGGAAGCATAGTCGCAAATAATTTCCAAATTTGTTTACACTGGAAATGAAGTATGAAGTATGGGATGCTGATTGATAATTCTGAAATGCTTCTTTTGATAATGAAAAAAAAAACGCTTTAATTAGGTACTAATTAAATTTTATTAAATTTTGAATATAAAAAAATGTTGGAACTACATTTTTAACTGAATCTTCCAAAATCGAGATCCAGATAGTCGGATAACAGAAAAATGGCCGGATAAGCTGGATTCCGGGTATCTACCGGATACATGGCATATCCCTAGTTATGATAATTCCTTTTGAACGAATTTAATAGAGTTTTATTCTATGTATACATTAGGCTGTGTCATTTTTGAGCAACTTTTTTTTCAACTAAGAAACAGGCTAAAAACTTTCAAAA